AACGATTCGACGAGTTGGATGTGTGGATCATTGATGGAAAGAATTTCAACGATTGTTTGCGGAATTTAGAAGTTGAAGTCACCGATCGAGCATCGGTGACTTCGATGCAAATCGATCAGATCCACTTGGACCCGCTCATTTTGTTGTTTGGTGATGATTGGCTTGACAACGAATCCCTTTTTCGGCGTGCCTTTCTTCAATTCACATTCAGAACAAAGTTTGACAAAAATCTCGATGATATCCTTCGATATTCCATGATATTCCCTTAGTGCTTTCCACATTATGTCCCTTCCAGCGTGTCCATGATCCTTGTGTGTTTTCATCAGCAGTTCAAAGAGATTTTCCTTGATGATCCCTCGTTTCATTTCTCCGGTTCTCCCAATTTTGTAGATGATGTCGAGATCGTTCTCCTTTTGCAAAGTAAAGCGCGCCAACAAATTGATTTCTTCAGGAGTCCTTTTTCCTTTTGTATCTTCACTAGTTATTCGTTTGATCGTTTTCACTATTTCGGCGTGCTTTGTGGCATCGGGAATCCAATTGTATTTCTTCGTAGATTGATGTTGCGTAAGGTGATCAACAAATTTATTTTCCATTTCTAGTTATTTCTAGTTATTTCTAAAAAAATAACTAGAAAAGTTGCAACGATACACGAGATAAATCGAAAAAAAGAAACGATTGAAAAATTATTACTCAACTATTACTTAAAATAAAAATTATTACTCATTAAACACCGAAGAAAGTAATAGTTTGTGTCGAAAAGATGGAATGAGTGGCGTTGTTTTAAATTTTTTTTCGAAAATATCTTTTTAAACAGATTTGGCAACAGAAGGCAACAATTTGGCAACAAAAGGCAACAATTTGACAACAGAAGGCAACAATTTGGCAACAAAAGGCAACAATTTGACAACAGAAGGCAACAATTTGACAACAGAAGGCAACAATTTGACAACAGAAGGCAACAATTTGACAACAGAAGGCAACAATTTGACAACAGAAGGCAACAATTTGACAACAGAAGGCAACAATTTGACAACAGAAGGCAACAATTTGACAACAGAAGGCAACAATTTGACAACAGAAGGCAACAATTTGACAACAGAAGGCAACAATTTGACAACAGAAGGCAACAATTTGACAACAGAAGGCAACAATTTGACAACAGAAGGCAACAATTTGACAACAGAAGGCAACAATTTGACAACAGAAGGCAACAATTTGACAACAGAAGGCAACAATTTGACAACAGAAGGCAACAATTTGACAACAGAAGGCAACAATTTGACAACAGAAGGCAACAATTTGACAACAGAAGGCAACAATTTGACAACAGAAGGCAACAATTTGACAACAGAAGGCAACAATTTGACAACAGAAGGCAACAATTTGACAACAGAAGGCAACAATTTGACAACAGAAGGCAACAATTTGACAACAGAAGGCAACAATTTGACAACAGAAGGCAACAATTTGACAACAGAAGGCAACAATTTGACAACAGAAGGCAACAATTTGGCAACAAAAGGCAACAATTTGACAACAGAAGGCAACAATTTGGCAACAGAAGTTACCTCCCGAGGTGTTAAAATATTTGGTCATATTAACCTAACTTTTTTATTTGCATGTGAGATCAATCTGCATTGTGTTTCGAATGTTTCATTTAAAAAAACTTTCAATCACTAGCGGCTAGCTGATGGTGATTCAATCACTAGCGGCTAGCTGATGGTGATTCAATCACTAGCGGCTGAAAATCACGAGCGGCTGCGACATATATAATGTTGCAAGGCTTTTGCACCCAGTTTTTAGGGTATTTTTCGTAGTTTTGTCATTTACTTTTTTGTTTTACCCTGTACTTGAAATTTGTTTTTGTAAATAGTGTTCATGTATTATTCTAATTAAAAACAAAAACAAAAAACGAACGGGTGGCATTTTCTATGAAAAAAGCAATGATTTTTTTGAAAAAGTGATGTTGAAAGACTTTTGCAAGAGAGATCACGACATTGATGCGAAGGAACTTTTGGCATTCAAAAAGATCTTCGCCAATTTGAAACGAGTCGATGAGTGGATCGTTGATGGAAACAATTTCAACGATTGTTTGTGAAATTTAGAAGTTGAAGTCACCGATCGAGCATCGGCGACTTCAACAGATCAGTCACAGAGGGTTTACCGTTGGAATGACGAAGTAGAACAAGAGCTTTTCTTGTCTTTGATCGTCGGTGGAAGACTTCAACATTGCAGAAGGATCTCATTTGATGTTGCTGATCTATATCCATCTTACTGATCTGTATCATGTTGCAAGTCTTTTGCTCGGTATTGTAAATGCTATTGACAAAACAGCCTGATATCCATTTTATTCTCTATAGACGTAAACAACTTTTGCTAAAAAAATGCCATAGCTATCGTAATAAATCTCGAATTTCCTCAATTTTTTAATGAATTCGTCATTAACATTTTAAAGAGGGATTATCTGTCAACGAAAGCCGAGACTGTTCTTTGCTGATAACGGGGCGTGCGGGCAGCCCTTTTTTCAACTTTTCTGACACAAGCAAAACCGTGATTATTTGTTTTTTCTAAATTCATGAACGGTTATCAAGAAACAATTCGAAAGATAATAAAAAAGAAATAGAAAAAATAATATTAACACGTATCTAGGGAAAAGTCAATCAACTCATCAAAAGGCATCTGGTCGTAATTGTAATCGACTTCAATGAAGTCGGCTTTCGGCTCCAGGCATTGAAAATTTCTCATCTAAACGCCATCCAGCTATTTTGGATTGAAATTCGAAAGAATTTCCCCAAAACCTCGACAGTGTTCGAGAAATGGGCGAATCTCATTTACTTCTTTGATGTTCGCGAGCGCTTTGGTGATCGCTTTCACTTCAAAGTCCGGGAAATGAAGATATTTAAAGTTCAACGTAATACGAACGAATTCAGCTTGAAAGTCGTGGATGGGGGAAAGCAGTTGGGGATGAGTCACTGAGAGTTCTGATACCTCCAACTCCAAGAAGGCGAGAAAAAGAAGATAAGAAGTAGCCTAAAATGCAGAAAGGAATTGTTGAAAAAACAGTTCGAGACGAACCAAGCTTCCAATTTTTTTCACCTGATTTATTTCTAGAAAATGTCTAATCATCCAATCAAAACCTCTAATCCTTACTCGATTCTTGAAGATATGCCTGAAGATTCAAATATTAATCAGCAGGTGCGTTTCTTATTTAAATTTTTACAATTTGAACAAATTTGAGGTGAAAATTGATTACACCCGGAAAATAATCTTTTCCGGTTTTAGAAATTGAATGCTTTCTCGTAAAATTTGTAAAGATTTTGGTTTTTTTGATAATCATAAAATAATGATGCAATGTCTATAAGGATTCTGCCAGAAGCATTTTGCGTTTTTCTTGACGCACAATTTACCAATTTCGTTGTTGTTTTTTTTATTGGATAGAGGAGGGTTAGACGCATCGAATGAAACCAAAAATAGCCCAATTAGTGAATTGTGCGTCAAGAAAACGCAAAATGCCTCTGGCAAAATCCTTATATACATTGTATCATTATTTTATAATTTCTATGAGCAAATATACTTTTAGCTGTTTCAAACGAAAGCGTTGCTGGTCTTGAAAATAGTTTTTAATCATTTTACAAAATACCAAAAATTTTGTCCAAATTGCTTCCAATGCCTCTTTATCAAATTCATTTCCCCGCTAGAGCCGCTAGATTATGGAACTTGCTCCCAAACGACATACGAGAAATTCAGTCGCTTTTCATATTCAAGAAACGTATCGATGCTTTAGATCTAGTGGCTCTTTGCCGTAAGTAATTGGCTTATTGATTTCAGTATGTATTGTATGATTAAGTATCACTGTGCATTTCTCTATGATTTCTTTCACTTTATCGTTTGAATAAAGTATTATTATAAAATAAGATGATTTTAAATCAAAATAACAAGATTTTAAATAAAATAAGATGATTTTAAATAAAAATGACATAATTTTAAAGCAAAATAACATAATTTTAAATCAAAATTATGTAAATTAAAGAAAATTTTATCAAAAAATGATGAAAATTGAAGAAAAAAATGGATTTTGAAAAAAACTGTCTTTGGCTTTGAAAATTAGACAGAAAAAGGAAAAAAAAGACGGAAAAAGTACGTCATAAGTCTATAGACGAAAAGAAAAAGAAATGCGATGCTCAGCGTCAGCTCAATACTACCAAAAACTATCGTAAATCTTTGTAAAATAAAGGAAAACGGACTTTTAATGCGTTCAGTGATTTCCTTTCCCTTTTTTGACACAATCTATCGATTGATGAGATTTGGCAGAACGATGAGAGCTGTTAAATGTCTTGAAATCTTTCCCACTCCATTAATCCGTTTTCTAAAACGTGGATGCTCCCGCCGATTATTGGAATCCCAAAACTGGAACGCACATCAAAAATTGCGTATTTGAAAAGTGTTCAAATTTACGCCAAACGACGAGCGATTACGCGACGCTACCTAGGCGAAACACTTTCACCGCTTAAACGTTTCCGAATAGATTTTATTTTCTTTTAAAACTCAATCCTGGAACACACAGTGGGTTTTCGATCATATAGAAACGTTTATTCTTTCATTTTAACTTTCAGCTTATAAACTATCAGCTTTTAGTTTAGATTTGGCTTAAAAATCGGCTTTCTCTGCTAAAACTTAAATAAAACTTAAAAGATTTTAAATAAAATAAGATGATTTTAAATAAAAATGACATAATTTTAAAGCAAAATAACATAATTTTAAATAAAAATAACATGATTTTAAAGCAAAATAACATAATTTTAAATAAAATAACATGATTTTAATTAAAATGCTTCCAATGCCTCTTTATCAAATTCATTTCCCCGTTAGAGCCGCTAGATTATGGAACTTGCTCCCAAACGACATACGAGAAATTCAGTCGCTTTTCATATTCAAGAAACGTATCGATGCTTTAGATCTAGTGGCTCTTTGCCGTAAGTAATTGGCTTATTGATTTCAGTATGTATTGTATGATTAAGTATCACTGTGCATTTCTCTATGATTTCTTTCACTTTATCGCTTGAATAAAGTATTATTATTATAATTTCAAAAATTTTGTCCAAATTTCAAAAAATTTTTTGTCTCCGTATCGATACGTATATACACGTATATCAGCTTATTTTTTTTCCAATAAAAAGCGCTATGTTGCTAGTCGCAACTCAGTGGTCAATAATCCATGCACTTCCCTAGTTAGGGGAGTACGCAGACGAGCAGAGGGAGGGGGGACACTCGGAACGTATCTTTATAGCTAATATTGCAACGTTTTGCATGTTTTTTGCACTAGTTTTTCCTGTTTTTGTTTTTGGCAACATACGCTGCTTACGCTAGCAAATTGTCGCGAAAAATGGCTGAATATCGTTTCAAATGAAATTCAAAACCCTTACCATTGAATATCTGTAATTTTCAAAAAACAACAGCATGTCGGACAACTATAATTTACCTCATTTTCTGTTTTCGTCATTTTCTGTTAGATAAAAGTCGATTATTAGTCAATTTTAGATCAAAAATCATATAAATGGTCCTCTGGAATAAAAATAAATATTTAGAATACGAATAAAAAGGAGAAGAAAACTAAAAACGAGAAGAAATCCAAAAATGGCAAAAAGAAAGCGAGTCGAATTGGTTAGCTTGCTTCTTCTTTCTTCTTCTTTGCTTCACTAACCACTAGGCTAAGGCTATAGCCTAGTGGCTATAAGGCGATAAGGCTATAGCCTAGCCACTTTTTGAGAGAGTACAATTGAGCATTAAATGCTCGGCGCAAATTGTGTGGCAGAAACTTGAAAAAACCTTTTAAAAACCATCAAATTTGAGGCCATATTTTAATCGATTTCCACAAACTTTTTTCGTGGTTTTTGATTACATATAATTCGATCGATTCAATGCCAAATCGTTGCTCAGCTGTTATTAAAGCAAAAGAATACGCCACAAAATACTGAATATTGCTGGTCAATTGTTAAATAAATTGTTATTTTTGAAATTGTTCCAAACTTTTGGACCCCCTAAAGATGGGTGTTCCAAGAAAAAGTGCAAGGCAAAAAAAGATCAAATATCAAATAAAATCAAGTAGATTTTCAGAAAGCTCACAAAAAATGCGACAAAAATAGTTTTTAACGTAACAAAACAAAACAAACAACAAAAAACAAACAAATTGGACGTATTTAACGCTAGTTACATCGAGTTGAAGTTGCCGGAAGGTGATTGTTCCAAATTTTTGGACCCTACTGTATAACGGAAGTTCTATATAACGGAGAACTCTAAGAAAATGCACAACTATCTTTAGGCAAGAAAAAGGATCGAGTGGCGTATTCCCCGCCAAAGAAGGTAACTTTCTATTTAATAGATAAATTTATAGCAGTCGATAATTAAACGTAGTTTTATCAATCAACGATCCATTTTCTTATTTTTAGAAATTGATAAAGAAGGCAGAGAAATCGCAAAAACACAAAGGAAAAACAGAGGAAGAAATCGCACGAGACTTCGGTAGGTTTCGTTGTTTTTTAAGTTTATTCAATTCTAAATTCATGGAATGCTAGTAAATTATAAACTCTTTATTGAATGATTTAATATTTTGTTCGTACAATGGTTATTTACTCTGTGGTTTTACAGGCTTTACAACGGGTTTGCTACGCGCAGCCAATCAGCAATTCGACATGGACAAAACCTATGTGTACCCAGACGCCTCACGTGACAAAACAAGTGGAATGACAGGAATAGGCATCTTTTTTGGAAAGGATCATCGACAAAACCTGTAAGTGTTTTTATTTTCTAACTATAGTAGCGAACATTAAAACTAGAAAAAGGTCTTGGATGGTTGCTAGATAATGGTTTTTTCAGAAAATAAAATATTGACTGGTGTTTAAATGGTCTAGCAAAAAAATTTTAGATAAAAATTTAAAAATTCTTTTCAATTTAGAAGCCTTGCAATCGGTAAAACGACTCACCCATTTGTCGGCGAGTCATATGCTATCCATGTTGCTCTTCATAAACTTTACTTTTGGGGAGAATACAAGTAAGGATTTTCACTGGTATAATAGTAATGAGTCCAGACAATTTTCTCTGTAAAAAAATTTTTTTGATCATTTAGAGGCAATCAAGTAGTACTTCGTACGGATTGTTTGAACGTCATCAAGGCGTTGTACTATTTCAAAGCTAATAATGAGCGAGGGTTCGAAGGAAACCTGGTGAAATATGTTTTGACCGAGCAGGATAAAAAAAGTTGGTTTTTACATTTGTATTTGTTTATATTTTGCATTTAGCCTGAAGAATCTATACCATCTTTTGAAATTTTTTCCAAAACGAGTCATCATGCAATGGGTTGAAAGCCATGTTGGAGATCCTGCCAACGATCAAGTAATGATTTTGAATATGTTCTTTAAGAAATGATTTTATCATTCTTTTATTATTTTTAGGCCGATAAACTGGCTTTCGAAGCTAGATCGCCTGAGAGCACTTGGTACCGTTCCACTAATTCAGCGAAGATCGCGCAAGGTATTACTGCTTGGGAGTCATCCCGCCATGAAGCGGAATTTGGTAATTGCATTTTCGATTTATTTGGAAGAAAGCAATTCTATATCTGTTAAAGAAAATGTTTATTTTTAGGTATGAAAGATGTAGTTGGCAATTCGTCATTCAAGAAGCAAGAAGGAAAGATGCAAAAAATCGTCTACCCTGAGCAGGAAGGAGGGATCGTGAACATTCTGACAAGAAAAGAAGTTCAGCTCGCGATGGACATTGGAGCCAAGATTAATAGTCAATGAAATCACTATTTTATACGCTTCGAAATTTTGATATTTTGGTTTTTGATAATCATTCTTATAAGAAAGAAATCAGAATATTAATAAGAAAAGCTATCTAATGATTATTTCCTCTAGCAACTTTTAATTGCAATTATCTACTTATTTGTATCAAATTGTATTGTATTGTTTCAAAAGATGATAATAAAGAAATAGAAAGAAAATAAAGGAATAGAAAATTAATAAAGGAATAGAAAGATAATATTAACACGAAGCTAGAGAAAAGTAAACCGATTCGCTTTGGGGACAATGGGCTTTAAGAATTACGCATTTCGTGTAATTTTCTCGCGCGAGTGTGCTTTTATAGACATTGCTTGTGACCAAAATTACGGTACTTTGAGACGCAATTAAAAAGTATTCAGTCTGAGCCAACGTTCTTTCATCAAAACAAAGTCATTCTACAATAAATTCTACAGTCATTCTACAATTCTACAACAAAATTAGGTAAACTTTAGCAAAATACATTAACCAGCTTGTGAGTTGCATTTCAAGACTGCCAAATTTCAAAAAAATCAACGAAAAACACTTGTTCACATGTCAAAATACTTCAAAATGCGTAATTCTCTGCTTAAAATTGAACTTTCAGCGTTTCACATATAGTTTTCCAAGCAAAATTTGATCCTGATAAAGTTCTAAAGCTTTAGTCTAAAGCTCTAACGTCTAAAGCGTCTAAAACTGTTTTAGACTTAAAGACGAGCGCGATATTGAAAGATCTTTAATTGAAAAGATAAGAAAAAGGCGTAAAATGAGGGAAATGAGCTTTGCAAATGTTTTTAAAAGCTTAAAAGCTTGATGTTCAAGCGTGTTTTAGCCAAAACGTCTTTTTCAAACGATAGAGATTCGTGAAAAGCTGGAGTAGGCTGGTTTCCGCAACTGGGTCGTTTGCGCAACTCGCCATAACTTTCTTCTAAGTGGATCAATCTTTATGATTTTGGTTTCATTTTGTAGATCTCAATAAGCGCAACAAAATGAAACCAAAATCATAAAGATTGGCCGACTTAGAAAAAAAGTTATGGCTCATCTAGGTCATGACCATTTTCCTTCCGACCCTTTTGATCAATAACTTTCTTCTCAGTGGGCCAATCTTTCTGCTCTTTGTGCCATTTTGTAGATCGCAATAAGTGCAACAAAATGAAACCAAAATCATAAAGATTGGTTGACTTAGAAAAAAGTTATGGCGAGTTGCGCAAATTTATAGCAATTTAAAGATATTCAGCTGAAAGAATGTTAATACAATCTGTCAAAAAATTATAGACGCACCCTGTTCTTTGTTAGTTTAGAGCCGGATATAAGTGCTAGTCCAGTGAAAAGTATTTTTTGAGTTTCTTTAATGTAAAAAAAGAACCCATGCAAAATTTGAAGTCATTTCACTCATCCAAAGTACTTCGTATCGTATCGTACATATACTTCGTATCGTACGATACGATAAGTACGAAAAACGTTTTATCAGCTGTTAAAAAAATGATAGACGCACTTTTATTTTATCAAGAAAAAGTTAACATAAAATAACAACACACAAATAAAAATAACAACACAAGCCAAATAAATTAATAATGTGTGGGCCCCTCCTTGCTTTGGTCCAACTTCAAAAAGACGTCTCGGCATCGAAGAGACGAGGTCATGGAGTCAAACATTGCCTATTTGAAAAGTATTCAAATTTACGCCAAACGATGAGCGATTACGCGACGCTACCTAGGCGAAACGCTTTCACCGCTTAAATGTTTCCGAATCGATTTATTTTGTTTTCAAACTCAATCCTGGAACGCACAGCGGGTTTTCGATCATTTAGAAACGTTTATTCTTCGATTTTAACTTTCAGCTTACAAAGTATCAGCTTTCAGTTTAGATTTGGCTTAAAAATCGGCTTTCTCTGCTTTGGCTTTGGCTCGGCTTTGGCTTTCTCTATATATCATTTCATTTCAAATGATTTGATGAATTGAATTGAACGAATGAAAAGCTGAATTATTTATTAATCATCTAATTCTCAATACAGATTGACAATATATGGTTTCTGTTTTTTCTTCTCCACCTCAGCGTTTTCTTTTCGGGTTGGGAGAGTTCGCGGAGTCAAACTGGAAAGTTTGCCCATCCATTTTTGACTGAAAATTTAAAGATTAACTTGCTCAAATGTTCTTTGAGCGTTCTTTGAGCGTTCTTTGAGCGACTTCCAAACCCACATCCTTTTAGTGCATTCAATTTTCATTTAAAGAAAACATTTGAACCTTGCCGTGTACCAGGCACCAGTGTTTCCAGCACCAGGCCAGCACCAGCACCAGCACCAGGCCAGCACCAGGCCAGAACCAGCACCAGGCCAGCACCAGGCCAGAACCAGCACCAGGCCAGCACCAGGCCAGAACCAGCACCAGGCCAGCACCAGGCCAGAACCAGGCCCAGGCCAGCACCAGCCCAGAAAAAAAGACCAAGGCCAGCACCAGGCCAGAAACCAACACCAGGCCAGCACCAGGCCAGAACCAGCACCAGGCCAGCACCAGGCCAGAACCAGCACCAGGCCAGCACCAGCACCAGCACCAGGCCAGCACCAGGCCAGAACCAGCACCAGGCCAGCACCAGGCCAGAACCAGCACCAGGCCAGCACCAGGCCAGAACCAGCACCAGGCCAGCACCAGCACCAGGCCCAGGACCAGGCCAGAAACCGCAGCAGGCCAGGCCAGCAAGGCCAGAACACCGCACGCCAGCACCAGGCCAGAACCAGCACCAGGCCAGCACCAGGCCAGAACCAGCACCAGGCCAGCACCAGCACCAGGCCGTCCACCAGTGTTTCCAGAAAGCCCACTTCTCTGCATTCCAATGAAGTGTGAAATTGAAGCGTCTTTCGATCTTTTTGTAATATCCTTCTCCTTTTAAATAAATAACAATCCAGACATATTCATTGTTCTAAAAGTATTCAGTTAATGGATAAGATTACGGTGGTCGAAAAAGAAGATACGGATTTGAAAATGGTTTTGAGAAACCCATGCTTTACTTACTTCAGCCATTTCTCGCAAACATTCTTTTGTTCTTGGCAACTGGAAGGTGATCTTTAGACGAGCCCATTGTTTAGGTGCAATGGAGAAAGCGTACTGTAAAATGAGCATTAACTGAATATCTCAAAATCTGACAGACAGACAGACCTTTACTTTACAAATCAAACATACAATACAGAGAGACCAGCAACATACAGAAAGACCAACAGACAGACTGCGCAACATACAGACAGACCAACAGACAGACAGACCTTTACTTTACAAAGGAAAGCTCAAAAAGCAAAAGTCTAGTCACAGCCGGGATTCGAACCCGGACCCCGGACCATACTGAAAGTAATCTTAAAGTACAAGGTAGTACGGCAGGCATTACTGCTCTGGCATTACGGCAACACTACAAGAGAAATGGCGTTACGTTAGGTTCGGGTAGCTAAAAAAAGAGCCCAGCAAAAGCACTTTGCTCACCTAAACGACCGTACCAAGCTCTAGATTACAGCTTTATGCAAATTTTATCTATAAATTTACCTTAGACGGACTACTTCTCGATTCTTTCCATCCTGGGTAAATATAATGTATTCCTTTATTGATCGGATCACACCAAGGAATTGAGAAATCCAAAATTGTTGAGCTGTCATTGAAGAATCGAATGTCCGCTAATTCTTGATCGAATAAAGGAACTAAATGCTTAATTGAGTAGAAAGTTTAACATCGAATGCGTCAGAAAGTTTGTGTGTTCACAGCTCAAAGTACACTTGTTTGTTTCAAATGGAAATTTTTAGTTAAATTTTGAGTTAAATTTTGATTCTAGGGCCTTAAGGTAATACGAAAAGCCATTAGTAGTAAGGTAACTTTTAGTAGTGAGTTATTAGTGGTGAGCAATTAGTAGTGAGCGACTAGTAGTGGGTCATTAGTAGTAAGCTATTAGTAGTAAGCCATTAGTAGTAAGCTTTATAAAATTAGTTTTATATTTTTAATAAAAATTTTATAATTTTGAAAAAAAATTAGTAGTAAGTCATTAGTAGTAAGCCATTACTAGTAAGTCATTAGAAGTAAGCTAATAGAAGTAAGCCATTAGAAGTAAGCTATTAGTAGTAAGCCATTAGAGATAAGTCCTTAGAAGTAAGCCATTAGTAGTAAGCCATTAGCAAGCCATTAGTAGTAAGGTTAAGAAAGAAAAGCAAGTGATTTTAACGTTTATAGTTGTTAAGTTGGGTACCGTATTCTCTCTAATATTAGTGCACCATGAGCGTTGCCTAAATTCCTCGAAATCTCTAAAAGCGCTTATCAGAACCTATCGATGTGGGGTCGGAAAATGTAGCTGACGATGAGATCTAGTGATTAGATTAGAGTGTTGAGCTTCTGATCCTTAGAGCTTAGTAAGGATCTCTAGAGCTTAGTAAGGATCTCTAGAGCTTAGTAAGGATCTCTAGAGCTTCATAAGGATCTCTAGAGCTTGGTAAGGATCTCTAGAGCTTGGTAAGGATCTCTAGAGCTTGGTAAGGATCTCTAGAGCTTGGTAAGGACGGCTTGGTAAGGATCTCAGAGCTTGGTAAGGATCTCTAGAGCTTAGTAAGGATCTCTAGAGCTTAGTAAGGATCTCTAGAGCTTAGTAAGGATCTCTAGAGCTTGGTAAGGATCTCTAGAGCTTGGTAAGGATCTCTAGAGCTTAGTAAGGATCTCTAGAGCTTAGTAAGGATCTCTAGAGCTTGGTAAGGATCTCTAGAGCTTAGTAAGGATCTCTAGAGCTTAGTAAGGATCTCTAGAGCTTAGTAAGGATCTCTAGAGCTTGGTAAGGATCTCTAGAGCTTGGTAAGGATCTCTAGAGCTTGGTAAGGATCTCTAGAGCTTAGTAAGGATCTCTAGAGCTTGTAAGGATCTCTAGAGCTTCATAAGGATCTCTAGAGCTTCATAAGGATCTCTAGAGCTTGAGGATCCTAGAGGGATCTCTAGAGCTTCATAAGGATCTCTAGAGCTTCATAAGGATCTCTAGAGCTTCATAAGGATCTCTAGAGCTTCATAAGGATCTCTAGAGCTTCATAAGGATCTCTAGAGCTTCATAAGGATCTCTAGAGCTTCATAAGGATCTCTAGAGCTTGGATCTCTGAGCTCATAAGGATCTCTAGAGCTTCATAAGGATCTCTAGAGCTTCATAAGGATCTCTAGAGCTTCATAAGGATCTCTAGAGCTTCATAAGGATCTCTAGAGCTTCATAAGGATCTCTAGAGCTTAGTAAGGATCTCTAGAGCTTAGTAAGGATCTCTAGAGCTTCATAAGGATCTCTAAAGCTTCATAAGGATCTCTAGAGCTTCATAAGGATCTCTAGAGCTTCATAAGGATCTCTAGAGCTTAATAAGGATCTCTAGAGCTTAATAAGGATCTCTAGAGCTTAATAAGGTGAAGATGGTTGTTAAAGATGCTAGGATCTCTAGGTTAATAAGGACGGTTGCAAAAGATGGCTTTTTTTGTGTGATTTTCTCACCTCCTTGCACAAAATCTAGAGTTCCATTAGTTTCAATTGGTTCTTGCATTCTTTCATTCAATTGATCCCTTCCTTGGAGTAGTCGATGAAAGAAAAATGATGGAATGCATTCGTTTCTAAAGCATTATAGATAACATTATAGATTTGTTTTTATTTGAAATCACTTTTCATCGTTCCAATCAAATCGAATACATGCATAATGCTGCTTCTTTGCTTTTTTCACACTCAACGACATCTCGATTAAACCAAAGAATTGATCGGAATTCTGGAAAAAGCTTCAATATTCAATATTCAATAATGCAAAAAGCTAGAATGTTCAAAATGATTTAAGAAAACGATGCTATTGAATGGGAAATTGAATAAAATGGGGAATTTCGAATGATTGAACTAGAGAATAGCTTTGAGAACAACCCTAGTGCCTTCTATTAGGTTGTCCGGAATGAAAATACCCTTTTAATGAAAAATAAATTTATCTCCACAAAAAGAAAAACATGCGCTTTAATCCAAAAGATATTCTCCGTTGTTGGCAATAGTCTTTCTCCATTTTTCTTTCAAATCTCGGATCCCTTTGCTGAAGAAATCCTGAGGCTGCGAGTCGAAGTATTGGCCTACCCAAATTCGGACTTCGTCGTGATCCTTGAAGTGTTTATCGGCCAAGAAGTGCTGCATAGATCGAAATAAGTGGTAGTCTAAGGGTGCCAGATCTGGACTATACGGCGGATGCGGGAGACATTCCCAGCCCAATTCCTCGAGTTTTTCCTGCGTCTTCTTTGCTGTGTGTGGGCGCGCGTTATCTTTCAGATATATCTCACAGTCGATGTGTTTAGACCTTGATTCTTGAGAGCCTGGTCTACTCGTTCCAGCTGTTGCACATATAGATCTGAGGTGACTGTTGGACGAGAAGGTAGCACCTCAAAGCGTATAAGGCCACGGGAACTCCACCAAACAGATAACATAGCCTTTCTTCCATGCGAATCACGTTGTGGCGTCGTTTTTGGCTCTTCTCCTGGACTTAACCACTGCCGTTTTCGCGATCGGTTATCGTAGTAAATCCATTTTTCATCGGACGTCATAATAGTGTCCCAAAAACCTCGATTTTTTGATTGACGAAGAAGAATACCGGCCATAGTCACTTGAGTAGATTTATTAGCGTCACGAAGTTGATGGGGGAGCCATTTTCCGACGAGATTCGCTTTACCCAAACGATGTAAATGGTTCGCAATTGTTGTGTGGCCTACAACAAACATTGTTGCAAGTTCCCGAGTCGACAAGGTTGGGTCATCTTCTATGGCTTCTCGAAGATCGTCATCGTTGAGCGCTGGAGGGGGGTGACCACGTTCTCGATCCTGTAGAGTTTCGTCTCCCTCTCTAAATCATTGAAACCATTTTTTTACAAGCTTCTTCTGAATAAGCAGCTTCTCCCAAAAATTTAAAGATTGAATTATGGCTCTCCCGGACACTTTTTCCTTGTTTGAAGTCGTAGAGCAAGCACACCCGAATTCGGTACTTCTGATCTCCCATTCTAAAAAAGCCAAAATTATAAGGCAGTAAATTTTTATAAAAACATAGAATTAGAAAAGATGTCTGACTTTAAAATAAAACAAAAGCGAAGCTGTTCGCTACACCGAAAAAATTTCAATCGAAGTTGAGGGTATTTTCATTCGGGACACCCTAATAGAATTGCTAAAACAAAAACATGGCTTCATCCCTTTGCAAAAATATGGCCAAACCTTTGCACTTTCCGTAGATTCTTTCTCGATTCCTCTGAACTGTAATCGATCTCAAGAAGAGCACCCTTTTGTTCTTCATTCATTTGCTAAAAGCTTTTACAATAGGCTTTACAATTTACTAAAAGCTTTCTCACTTGTTCCACTCGAAAAATCACTCCCGGTAGTTCCCATTTATCTATTGTTAACTCTAAATCAGAACGATTCGGCGTCAAGTGAAGAGAAAGACAATTGTTAGAGACTTCAGGCCCTGGAAGGATGTTGGAGTTGATAAGAAAAGCTCTTAATTTGTTTTGGAAAACGATTGTTACAGATTTCCGACCCTAGGAAAGCCTTGAAGTTGATAAAAAGCAACTGGAAGGTGATCTTTAGTCCATTGTTTAGCCCATTGTTCTGATTCTGTTCTTGTTCTGTTCTTGTTCTGTTCTTCTTCTGTTCTCCTTCTTTGAGATCTTTTTGTGTCAATAACTTGAAATTCCTTACATTCAACCGTCAATAGCTCGGCGTTGAAAAATTTAGAGAAATCGAAGGGATGAGGAAGATTTTTGAAAAGACCGTTAACTGAAAGCTTTCAATTTCTTTATGATTTGATTATAAAGATTTGATTGTAAAGATTTGATTGTAAAGATTTGATTGTAAAGATTTGATTGTAAAGATTTGATTGTAAAGATTTGATTGTAAAGATTTGATTGTAAAGATTTGATTATAAAGATTTGATTCTAAAGATTTGATTATAAAATGATACTGTAAATACAGTCGATTCTTTCTATAACGGAATGGAAGGAACCAAAATATATAGAGCTTCCGTTATTTAGAGCTTTCCGTTATATAGAGATTTCGGTTATATAGAGCTTTCCGTTATACAGTAGGGTCCAAAAGTTTGGAACAACCACCTTCCGGTAACTTCAACTCGATGTAACTAGCGTTAAATACATCCGTTAAATACATGAGATCTTAGTTCATTCCTCCTCTTAGTTCTTAGTTCTTAGTTCATTCTAACTAGGGAAGTGCACGGATTGACCTTTTTTTAAAGGTCACGAATTGACCACGGTTTTTTCGAATTTCCGCCGCACCATTTGCGCCCAGCTTTTAATGCTCAATTATACGCTCTCAAAAAGTGCCTAGGCTATAGCCTTTTAGCCTTATATCCACTAGGCTATAGTGACACTAACCATTAGGCTATAGCCTAGTGGTTAGTGTGGGCGTCGGTTTGTGATTATCGGTGGGCCCAAGGGATTATCGGCGGCCCAATTTTTCGTAAGTGAGAAATATTTGTGTAAATGCTATGTTGGTTTACAAGGCCTAAATGTTATCGGATAAATGTGTGAGAAACTTCAGAAGTGGTAGGCCGCCAATAATCTTGGGCCGCCGTTAATCTCCTTGAAAAAATGGGGCCACCGATAGTCCTTCGGGGTCTCCGCTATTAGGAAAGATCCGCGCTTCCGTTATAGAGAGCTTTCTGTTATAGAGAGCTTTCTGTTATATAGAGCTTTCGTTATATAGAGCTTTCCGTTATATAGAGCTTTCTGTTATATAGAGCTTCCGTTATAGAGCTTCCATTATATAGAGCGTTCTATAGAGCTCTGTAGTAGTTTTTAGGATTTCAACGAATTTTGAGGAGTCAGATAACCGAAAGAAGCAAAACTCACCAATTCCACTCGCTTTCTTCTTCTCATTTTTGGATTTCTTCTCGTTTTTATTCTCCTTTTTATTCTCCTTTTTATTCACATTCTCATCCAGAGAACCATTTATACGATTTTTGATCTGAAATTGGCTAATAACAGACTTTTATCTAACAGAAAATGAAGAAGTTAGGTAAATTATAGCTGTCTGTTAGCTTTATGGCTATTAGGCTATAGCCTGGCCTTATGGCTAGTAGGCTATAGCCTGGCCTTATGGCTAGTAGGCTATAGCCTGGCCTTATGGCTAGTAGGCTATAGCCTGGCCTTATGGCTAGTAGGCTATAGCCTGGCCTTATGGCTAGTAAGGCTATAGCCTGGCCTTATGGCTAGTAGGCTATAGCCTGGCCTTATGGCTAGTAGGCTATAGCCTGGCCTTATGGCTAGTAGGCCATAGCTTTATAGCCACTAGGCTATTTGTATATTTGTATAAAGTATATTTGCTCATAGAAATTATAAAACAATGATACAATGTCTATAAGGATTTTGCCAGAGGCGAATCGGGTTCAATTTTTGTATGTCAAATATCTCGTATTACAGAGCTCCACTGGAAAAACTAAAAGCGGATTCGGAATCAGCGTAAAAAGTTCTACCAGGTACAATAGATTTTAAATTAAAGGCCACTTTTGAAAGGCAGTTTTGGAAGGCGCTTTTGAAAGACAATTTTGAAAGACAATTTTTGAAAGGTCACTTTTGAAAGACCTGGTGCTTTTCCCTTGTGAGTGCCCCCATTGACAGAGGGATTTTACGTTTTTCTTGACGCACAATTCACCAATTGAGCTATTTTTGGTTTCATTCGATGCGTCTAACCCTCCTCTATCCAATAAAACAAACAACAACAAAATTGGTAAATTGTTCATTAAGAAAAACGCAAAATGCCTCTGGTAGAATATAGACATTGCATCATTATTTTATGATTATAAAAATACCAAAATCTTTACAAATTTTACAAGAAAACATTGAATTTCTAAAAGCGGAAAAGCTCATTTTCCCGGTTTTATCAATTTTCATCTCAAATTTGATCAAATTCTCAAATCAAATCAAATCAAATCAAAAATTTAAATAAGAAACGCACCTGTTGATCAATATTTATAGAATCTTCAGCAATTTCTTCGAGAAATGAGTACGAATTTGAGGTGTTGATTGAAAAATTGGGCATTTTCGAGAAATAAATCGGGTGAATTGAATTCACCAACAAATTTCTATTCTTTTTCGAAAATTTTCTTGACTAGAGAAAAATGACTAGTCATCACGAGTTCTTTTCCGCATTTTATGGCTTTCTTTCTTATCAATTTTGCTTTCTTTTTGCGTTTTCCACATGAAAATGTTTTGGAACACTTGATTGTTGAGTAAGTGACCTGGAAATGAAAGCAAGTCAACCGGAAATGAAAGCATCTAAAGCCATTCAAGTAGCCTGGAATCGGCTTCAGCCAACAGGTTACTTTCAGTACTTTAAGATTCAGCTAATTCATTTGAAAAGATCCCTTACCGTAATCCCGTTGATTTTTCGATTTTAAGCTATTAGTTTCGATTACCGTACCCTTTGTGTCTGTCTGTCTGTCTGTTTGTTTGTCTGTCTGTCTGCCTGTCTGTCTGTCTGTCTGTCTGTCTGTCTGTCTGTCTGTCTGTCTGTCTGTCTGTCTGTCTGTCTGTCTTCTTGTCTGTCTGTCTGTCCTGTCCCCTGCCTGCCTGCCTGTCTGTCTGCCTGTCTGTCTGTCTGTCTGTCTGTCTGTCTGGCCTGGTGCTGGAAACACTCTTCCTGGTGCACGGCAAGGTTCAAATGTTTCTTTAAATGAAAATTGAATGCACTAAAAGGATGTGGGTTTGGAAGTCGCTCAAAGAACGCTCAAAGAACGCTCAAAGAACATTTGAGCAAGTTAAGTCTTTAATTTTCAGTCAAAAATGGATGGGCAAACTTTCCCGTTTCACTCCGCGAGCTCTCCCAACCCCAAAAGAAAGCGATGAGGTGGAGAAGAAAAAACAGAAACCATATATTGTAAATCTGTATTGAGAATTAGATGATTAATAAATAATTCAGCTCAATTCAATTCATCAAATCATTTCAAATGAAATGATATATAGAGAAAGCCAAAGCCAAAGCAGAGAAAGCGGATTTTTAAGCCAAATCTAAACTAAAAGCTGATAGTTTATAAGCTGAAAGTTAAAATGAAAGAATAAACGTTTCTATATGATCGAAAACCCGCTGTGTGTTCCAGGATTGAGTTTTAAAAGAAAATAAAACCTATTCGGAAACGTTTAAGCGGTGAAAGTGTTTCGCCTAGGTAGCGTCGCGTAATCGCTCGTCGTTTGGCGTAAATTTGAACACTTTTCAAATACGCAATTTTTGATGTGCGTTCCAGTTTTGGGATTCCAATAATCGGCGGGAGCATCCACGTTTTAGAAAACGGATTAATGGAGTGGGAAAGATTTCAAGACATTTAACAGCTCTCATCGTTCTGCCAAATCTCATCAATCGATAGATTGTGTCAAAAAAAGGAAAGAAAACCACTGGACGCATTAAAAGTTCGTTTTCCTTTATTTTACAAAGATTTACGCTAGTTTTTGGTCGCATTGAGCTGACGCTGAGCATCGCATTTCTTTTTCTTTTCGTCTATAGACGTCTCACGTACTTTTTTCGTCTTTTTTCTTTCTTTTTCTGTCTAATTTTCAAAGCCAAAGACAGTTTTTTTCAAAATCCATTTTTTTCTTCAATTTTCATCATTTTTTGATAAAATTTTCTTTAATTTACATAATTTTGATTTAAAATTATGTTATTTTGCTTTAAAATTATGTCATTTTTATTTAAAATCATCTTATTTTATTTAAAATCTTGTTATTTTGATTTAAAATCATCTTATTTTATAATAATACTTTATTCAAACGATAAAGTGAAAGAAATCATAGAGAAATGCACAGTGATACTTAATCATACAATACATACTGAAATCAATAAGCCAATTACTTACGGCAAAGAGCCACTAGATCTAAAGCATCGATACGTTTCTTGAATATGAAAAGCGACTGAATTTCTCGTATGTCGTTTGGGAGCAAGTTCCATAATCTAGCGGCTCTAACGGGAAATGAATTTGATAAAGAGGCATTGGAAGCATTTTAATTAAAATCATGTCATTTTTATTTAAAATTATGTTATTTTAATTAAAATTATGTTATTTTGCTTTAAAATTATGTTATTTTGCTTTAAAATTATGTTATTTTGCTTTAAAATTATGTCATTTTTATTTAAAATCATCTTATTTTATTTAAAATCTTATTATTTTTATTTAAAATTATGTTATTTTGCTTTAAAATCATGTTATTTTATTTAAAATCTTGTTATTTTATTTAAAATTATGTTATTTTGCTTTAAAATCATGTTATTTTATTTAAAATCATGTCATTTTGCTTTAAAATCAAGTTATTTTGCTTAAAAATCATCTTATTTTATTTAAAATCTTTTTATTTTTATTTAAAATCATGTTATTTTATTTAAAATTATGTTATTTTATTTTATTTTAGTAATTTTTGATGTTTTTTCGTTTTCTCTCAACGATCATCACTGGAAAAACGACAAAACGAAGCATTTCAGCGCTAAAGTTCGACTAATTTTGAGTCTATTTCTTCTAATTAATCTCGAATTTGTTAAAAATAACAATACTTTTAACAAAATAACAATAATTTATAAGAAAATTCTAAGTTTTTGAAGTTTTTTGAAGTCTTTTATAGTCTTTTATAGCCTTTTAAAAGCTTTTAAGGCCTTTTTGAAGTCTTTAAAGTCTTTCTAAAGTCTTTTATAACCACTCTAAAGTCTTTTGAATTCTTTTATAGTCTTTTATAGCCTTTTAAAAGCTTTTAAAGTCTTTTGAAGTCTTTCTAAAGTCTTTTATAGTCTTTTAAGGCCTTTTTAAAGGCTTTTAAAGTCTTTTAAGGCCTTTTAAAGTCTTTTATAGTCTTTTAAAGGCTATCTAAAGCCTTTTAAAGTCTTCCTAAAGTCTTTTAAAGTCTTTTAAACTCTTTCAAAGCCCTTTGAAGTCTTTTAAACTCTTTTAAAGCCTTTTAAAGTCTTTCTAAAGTCTTTTAAAGCCTTTTAAAGTCTTTCTAAAGTCTTTTAAAGCCTTTTAAAGTCTTTCTAAAGTCTTTTAAAGCCTTTTAAAGTCTTTCTAAAGTCTTTTAAAGTCTTTCTAAAGTCTTTTAAAGTCTTTCTAAAGTCTTTCTAAAGTCTTTTAAAGCCTTTTAAAGTCTTTCTAAAGTCTTTTAAAGCCTTTTTAAAGCCTCTTAAACTCTTTTAAAGCCTCTTAAACTCTTTTAAAGCCTCAAACTCTTTTAAAGTCTTTTATAGCCTTTCTAAAGTCCTTTAAAGCCTTTTAAAGCCTTTTAAAGTCTTTGAATCTTTCAAAACCACAAATAAATCAGGGTAAATTGGCTTAAAAACCGACTTTCTTCCTCGACTACAAACTCTAGAAAAAGGAAGGCTAAAGATAAGCTTTTATCGATGAAAAAATAGCTTTTAAATATTAAAATCTTATCTAAATCTCATTTAAATCTTATCTGAATCTTATTTAAGTCTTATTTAAGTCTTATTTAGGTCTTATTTAGGTCTTATTTAGGTCTTATTTAAATCTTATTTAAATCTTATTTAAGTCTTATTTAGGTCTTATTTAAGTCTTATTTAGGTCTTATTTAAATCTTATCTGAATCTTATTTAAATCTTATTTAAATCTTATTTAAATCTTATCCAAATCTTATCCAAATCTTATCCAAATCTTATCCAAATCTTATCTAAATCTTCTTCTAATCTTATTTTAGTTGCAACCCGTCCAATGTTTGTTGGATGCCCAAATGCAACAAATTATTGTTTAACACTAAGTCTTCTTTTAAATCTTATCCAAATCTTCTTCTAATCTTATGCTTTATAAGAAAATTGCACGTTTTTAGAGTTTTTAAAGTTTAAAGCCTAATTCTATCTAATTTTCAGTAAAATGCAATTGAAACTTTTGACAGCCGAGGATTTGAATCGATTTGAGACGTTTCTTTTCGATGCTGATGGTGATTTTTTTTTTGTGTGTGGAAAATCTAGATTTCAACATAAAATTGAATATAAAACTTGAAAATAAACTTATTTAAAACTTTACTTTAAAAATTTACTTTAAAACTTTACTTTAAAGCTTTAAAGCTTTACTTTCAAGCTTTAAAGCTTTACTTTAAAACTTAGGTAAGTTAGTTACAAAGCCTAAGCCTCCGACTCTGCACTTTCAACGCCAGGACAGCCGCCTCGCAAGCCGATAAGACTACACTCCATGATGAGGAGCAAGAAGATCAAATTCGACATCATCGCCCTCATCACCATCATTCGACATCATCAAACAAAGGCCAAAGATGACTCCACGAAGACACAGGCGAACGGCGACCTGCTCATACTCGGCCACAAAGTCACCAACAAGAACATCGGAGGAATAGGCTTCCAGCAACGTGGTGAAGCACAAGAGTGGCAGAGACGGTCAGAGAAAGGATGGCTCTAGTTACTAGTTTCTCTACTAGTTGCTCTACTAGTTTCTCCAATAGTTCCTCTACTAGTTTCTCCAATAGTTGCTCTACTAGTTGCTCTACTACTTGCTCTACTAGTTGCTCTACTAGTTTCTCCAATAGTTGCTCTACTAGTTGCTCTACTAGTTGCTCTACTAGTTTCTCCAATAGTTCCTCTACTAGTTTCTCCAATAGTTGCTCTACTAGTTGCTCTACTAGTTGCTCTACTAGTTTCTCCAATAGTTGCTCTACTAGTTTCTCTACTAGTTGCTCTACTAGTTTCTCTACTAGTTGCTCTACCAGTTACTCTACTAGTTGCTCTACTAGTTGCTCTACTACTTGCTCTACTAGTTGCTCTACTAGTTTCTCCAATAGTTGCTCTACTAGTTGCTCTACTAGTTGCTCTACTAGTTTCTCCAATAGTTCCTCTACTAGTTTCTCCAATAGTTGCTCTACTAGTTGCTCTACTAGTTGCTCTACTAGTTTCTTTACTAGTTGCTCTACCAGTTACTCTACTAGTTGCTCTACTAGTTGCTCTACCAGTTACTCTACTAGTTGCTCTACTAGTTGCTCTACTACTTGCTCTACTAGTTGCTCTACTAGTTGCTCTACTAGTTGCTCTACTAGTTTCTCTACTAGTTGCTCTACTAGTTTCTCTACTAGTTTCTCTACTAGTTGCTCTAATAGTTGCTCTACTAGAAAGATTTACCAAAATTTGTTTCATTCATAATCGGCTACGAAATATACATCAAATTGAAACAAAAACGTGAAAATAAACTCAATTTAAAACTTTAAATAAGCTCAAAAGCTCAAAAACTCAAAAACTCAAAGTTTTCAGGTGTTTTATGGAGAGGCGGCGAGACGATTGCCGGATCTGTGGAATTTGTGCAACAATTGCAACGCCAGGCACGTCAAAAAAAACTCATCAACAAAAGCCAGAAATTTGCAGGGTAAACGAGTTTTTGTCATCACGAATAATAGCACGAAGACGAGGAGTCAATATTTGAAGAAATTGCATGGTTTAGGCTTCGATCTGCCCGAGGTTTGTGCAAAGATCTTGATGCAAATATCTATGTAAAAGAGCAGCGCCTATCTACTATAGAAAAAAAAGCCTTGTACACAATTTTCATCTCGAGAACGGAGCTAGAACTCCAAAAACAACACCCTTAGAAGTTTATAGGTAAAAAAGTCAAAATTCTGAAGTCAGTAGCACTTCGGGGGGTCGAACCCGGGTAGTCTCGAACTGTAGACGAGCACCCGACCCACTGCGCCACGGAGACCGTCGCCGACCGGTCAGAAAAACCCGGTATTAAGCGGCTGTTCAGGTTTTTCCTTTCATTCATAAGACCAGCGGAAAAACTCGGTTAAGACCAGCTTTTTGTGTGGGGTCGGCTATGGTCGCCGTGGCATAGTCGGTAGTGCGCTTAGCTAGCGGTCCAGACGAGCCGGGTTCGACTCCTCCTGGTGCCGGTCAGCTTTGATTTTTTCATTTTCTTCTTAAAATTCTATAACCACAATATTTCAGATTTCAGATTCTAAGGTTTTCTAAAGAAGTTTTAGCATTATTGGTCATAATATGGCTGAGAAAATGTCTGTACGAACAGACAGACAGACAGACAGACAGACGGGCAGACAGATATATATATTGTAGATCATTTCAGTCAAATGTCATCTCGCCGGGTGTCGTTTTGCCGATGTATTTGAAAGATAATGGCTACGAGAACAAGAAGATCTATTTGATCGGCACTCCATCATTAAAAGATTCGCTCGAGAAAGGAGCTGGAGTGAAATGTGTTGGATTGGGGGTGAGTTTAAGGAAAATGAACTTGGTTGGTTGGAAAATGAACTTGGAAACTTGGTTGTTTTAAGGTCGCAAGTCGTTCTAATGCCTCTATTTTTGTTCTAGTGTTCTAAGGCCAAATCAGGCTTTGAAACAAAGCTCGACGTGCTCCTGCTTTCTTGAATTCATTTGGGAAATCGAGCTACTCGCTTTTCGTTTTGATTCAGTTCAGATTCGTTTCGGATTCAGTTCAGATTCGTTTCGGATTCGATTAATTACACTTGCGCTAATGCTTACGCGAATGCGCTAAAGATTTCAGTGAAATATTGTGAAATATTGATGAATATTGATTGATTGAATCGATTGATTAAATTGATTGATTCTATAGATTTTAATCGATTCCATTGCTATTCTATTGCTAAATTCCAGCCTGAACACTTCGAGGATCTCACCGACACAGATTTCATCTTCCAACTTGAAAACGATGAAGAGATCGCTGCAGTGGTTGTCAGTTTTGATGGGCATATAAGGTGAAAAGATATTCAATTGATTGCCTAAAGAAATCCATTGATTGCCTAATGAATTCCATTAATTGCCTAAAGAATTCCATTGATTGCCTAAAGAATTCCATTGTGTAAAAAATTTCTTTTTAAAAAAATCCATGGTTTGAAAAAGAATGTAAAAATAATATGTAAAAAATACCACAAATTTTAAATTCTTGCTAAATATGGATTGTCTAAAGAATTCCATGGATTGCCTAAAGAATTCCATTGATTTCCTAATGAATTCCAATCTTTTTTACAAGCTATACTTGAATAATCAGAGATAATCGATAATCAAAATTGCTAAAATTGCTGTTTAAAGCTGTCGAAATCGATCTACCTTTTAGTTACCCAAAAATCATGCGCGCTGCGAACTACCTTCGCGATTCGAGTGTCGATTTTTTCATCACAAACGAGGATACGACTTTCCCTGGCCCATGCGATGATGTCATTGTGCCTGGTGAGGGAATTTAAAGGCAATGCAATGCAAATTGCAAACTTCAGGCACTGGTTGCATAGCGGCTGCAATTCGATCGGTCGTCGATCGAGAGCCACTCGTTTTCGGCAAACCGAACACACCGATTGCCGATTTTCTGAAAAGACATCATCACATTGACGCGACGAAAACGATCATGTTTGGGGATCGGTTTGTGGTTTTTGAAAAGCAATTGAGCAAAAGCAGTCGAGCAAAGGCAATTGAGCAAATCATAAGCAAGATCAGGGTTTTTCAAAGTCAATGATCAGTGCTAGGTTCTAGCCTAGCTAAAAGCTTTCCCAAAGAGCTCTAGATCCGTCAGAAGACCGGAGCCTTTGTTGTAGAGCTTGTTGTAGTCCGCCAGAAGCCCGAAGTCTTTGTTGTAAGGCTAAGCAGGGAATCTTTGACTCGAAATAGAATCTCAATTTTGGACTGAATGCTGGCTGGACCAGGGATTTTCACCCAAATTTTGAAATCCTGATCTGTCCTTGTTCTGCTATGGTTCCCGCAGGCCGCGGAATTTTCAGTTTTGTGGCGAAATCAATTCCATACTACAGTGTGATATCCAGAATCCACTTTCATATAAAAATTTCATCGATTAGCTGCTTCTCAGCGCTTAAATCCAACCAGCTACGTTGTGCTGCTTTGGCCACCTTGAAAAGTTTACAAATTTCCATATGAGAGTAATTCCAAACTACACTGTGACATCCAGAATTCACTTTCCTATAAAAATTTCTTCGATTAGCTGCATCTCAGCGCTTAAATCTAACCAGCTACGTTGTGCTACCCTAACCATCTCGAAAAATTTACAAATTTCCATACGAGAGTAAATCCAAATTACACGGTGACATCCAGAATCCACTTTCCTACAAAAATTTCATTGATTAGCTGCTTCTCAGCGCCTAAATCTAACCCGCTACGTTGCGCTGCTTTAACCACTTCGAAAAATTTCCAAATTTCCATACAAAAGTAGTTCCATACTACAGTGTGACATCCATAACTAACTTTTCTAACTTTGGAAATTGACACCAGGATTGTAGGGAAGCGATAGAAATAGAAAAACGATGGAAACGAAGTAACGTTTTTCAAAGGATACCAAAAAGCCGATGAAATCAATTTTTAGGCTTGACACGGATATTATGTTTGCGAATGGGAATGGTTTCACTTCGTGTTTAATGTTGACGGGGATTCATTCACTGGAAACAGTGAATAAGGCGAAATTGGCCGGAAATCACTTGCAGATTCCTCATTTTCAATTCGCATTTTCCCCGTACGCTGGATTGACAAATGGATTTTAAGCGATTAGTAGCTGAAGGAAGTTTTGGATCGTTTTTGATCGTTTTAGATCGTTTTAGATCGTTTTAGATACCGTTTATAACAGCCAAATGTTAGCCTGTACAAAGGATTGCTGTGTACTTTGTACTCGAAATTTTAGCGCACTCAATTCTTCATTTTTCTTATATTAGGTTGGGCCGATTTGCCGATATGCCGATTTTTTGAGAGTTGATCTTAAACTTTTTTGATTTAAACGTGTAAGAGCTCATTGAAAAGCTAATTCTCTAGTAGATTAGATAAAAAAGGTTTTTTAATAGATCAATCTTCAAACTCTTGCAGCCATTAAAGGCATCAAATCCCAAATTTCAAAAAAAATGACTTTTTTTCGTTTTTTTGTACGGAAACCTAGGCTGAAACCATGTTTTTCGGAATCAGCGTTGAAAATTACCTTAGAAAACGCAAAGCTCGTTGTTTCAGTAAAAATTTTTCAAAAAAATCTGCCGGAGTTGGAGTCGAACCCTCGACCCTCCGATCATCGCTTTCAGAGCTTTGAGGGTCGAGGGTTCGAAGCTCTGAAAGCAGTGATCTGAGGGACGAGGGTTCGACTCCAACTCCGGCAGATTTTTTGAAAAAATCTTTGTTAAAACAACGAGCTTTGCGTTTTCTAGGGTAATTTTCGACGCTGATTCCGAAAAACATGGTTTCAGCCTAGGTTTCCGTACAAAAAGAACGAAAAAAATTCATTTTCTTTGAAATTTTCATTGATTTTCGGTGATTTTCATTGATTTTTATTGATATTTCATTGATTTTTCATTGATTTTTATCGATTTTTATTAATATTACGGTAAATTTCATTGATTTTCGGTGGTTTTCATTGATTTTCATTGATTTTCATTGATTTTCATTGATTTTCATTGATTTTCGGTGATTTTCATTGATTTTTCATTGATTTTCATTGATTTTTCATTGATTTTTATTGATATTTCGATGATTTTTATTGATTTTCGATGATTTTTCTTCATTTTACACTTGGTTACCTAGTCTCACCGGTTAGATTCACTTCTTTTAAACCAATTCTCCTACCATCACCACAAATAGACCTCCATTCAGTGCTCATTTTGTAGAGTTTAAACAGTTTTTCATTGATTTTTTTGATGTAGGAATAAATGATTTACGATAAACGTTCGATTTGATAACAAATTTTCAGAGAAAACACGGATTTTTCAGAAGAAATTTCAAGAAATTCAGTCAAACTTTTTACTCGATGCTGTTTGTTGTTCAAATGTTTACCTAACGAATTCAGACTTTCCTGTGACCTCCAGAAAAGAGTTTCGTGAAGAGAAAACGACGAACGGGTGAGTGGATCGGGAGGAAACGTCGGGGAAAGTGAGGCGACAGAGAATGCAGAGAAAAACGCTATTTTGTAGGCGATCCGGCTTGCGTCGAGGGTCCCTTTCTGCATTTTGGCTCTCACCTGACTAATACCTGTCCTTTTCATTCACTTTTCATTCACTTTTCTGCTAAATCACTTTCCATGAACACTCCATTAGCCACTTTACTCTCTAGTTTACTCGGAACACTCATTATCCCTTATTGTTGATGCTGTTTTTGTTTTGAATCGATCTTTCAACTCAGTTTTGATAAGTTTAAGCTTTTCTAAGCTTCCTTAAGCTTCTTTAAGCT